CCCAAATGAACAACTGGAGATTGGCAGTTGCCATGTCATCCTGGACAAGAGTGTTCTGAAGATCATGAACACATGACAGATTGTTACCCATGGCTGTTCACCTAATCATTGTGCATCTTCTTGCGAAAGCCCAGGGGATTTATAGCCCACTGAGAAGCAAATGACATGCTTGGTGGCTGTGGGTTTTATTTAGACTGTGAATGCAGATGTCTAATTGGAGTTGGGTATTTATTAACATAAGCTGCTTTGCCATTCAGAAATCGGAGCTAATCAAAATATTGTAAATATCGTGCCTGGAGAAATTTCACTCTTCACCATGATTGCATTTCCATATTTTTTTTCATTCTGTTTAAGAAAGTGTAAACAAATACTTACAGCCTGATGGGGTGGACACATGTGCCTAACTCTAGGATCTAACATAGGCCATGTGCACTTAGAAGGCGCTGAGACAATAATGCATAGCAATAGCTCCCCATTTCCTCTGTTCCTGTGTTATCTGGGCTTTGTAGTTGTAGTTTCCAGGCATTAGCTGCAGGCACAAAGACACGGGATGCCTGTCTGTCCATTTCATCTGACACTGCGGGATGCTGTGCAATTGGATAAATATCTGATGCCACAAGAATCCGGGCATTCATCTTGGCAAAAAGGGGACAGACTCTTTGCTTTCTGTCTGTCTGCACTTATATGCTTCTAATCATAGTCGTATCTGAACATCACAGAATTATCTTCTCCTCAGTCTAGTGTTCATGCACCGTCTTGTTGCTTCCCTCCTTACCCAGACGTAGAAGTAGGATTCCCCTCCCCCCCCCCATTTTCTATCCCTTGGGCAGGGGATGTGTTGCGAGACAGGTTCTTGGCGTGCCTCTACACCATGCTATTATTATTATTACATTCCATTTGTATTACGAAGGCATCTAGAGGCACTGATTAGGGTCCCCTTGTGCTAGATTCTGCACAGACAAGGGTTGCAAAGACAGCTCCTGCCCTAAAGAATCTTGTATTCCAAGATACAAGAGATGGGGTAAAGCAGTAAATGGATGAGGGGCATTCCAATCCGAGTTCCCATACGTTGGCTGCCATGCAAAAGTGTATTTTTTATTCCCTCTGCAATTGTGCAGTTTCACATCTGTAAGTTGCTGTGGAAAAAAATAAGCTTGTCACCAATTGAGCTTTGCACATTTTGAGAGGCCATTGTTTTTCCAGCCTTTCCTGAGGGAGGCCATTGCTGAGCAAGACATTCTTATCATCTTTTGATTTCTTTGGAACAGCCTCCTTGATTGGATATGTATGATCCCAAATAATTGAATTCATCTACTGCCTCTACAGCTTGACTGTTAATCATGATGTCTGCTTGCATCCTATTAATCATGTCAGTGTGCATGAATTTCATTTTCACCTCATTCAGGTATAGACCATTGTAAGAGGGCCGGACTCACCCCTGCGGCGCCTCTTGCTGGTTGTCCAGGGAATTAGCTCACCAGCCTCTGGAGCGCCCTCTGCAGGCCGGTGATCCGCCTTGTCCTCTGCACTGGCCCCCGTGTCCCTCCCAGGACCCCGGTGCCCCTTGCTCTGGGTGCTGCCCCCTGGCAATACCCACACACACGCTGGGTCTCCCCTCCCAGGGGAACCCCCACCCACTATCCCTACCTCACCTCAGAATAAGGCCACTGCCAGTCACCAACTAGCCCCCGCTCCCTGGGGCAGACTGCAGTATAGGCCACTCATCACTGGCAAGGAGGGTTTGGACCTGCTGCCTCGGCCTAGCCCTGGGCTGCCCTCTGCAACCCCCAGTACCCCTTGGCCTATTACCAGGCCGCAGCCTGGGGCTATCCAGGCTGGAGCTCCCCAGCCTCTCAGCCTTTCCCCAGCCCTGCTCTACTACAGGTGCCCTGTCTAGCTCCCTGCAGCCAGGCCCTTCTACTCTCTGAAGGCAGAGAGAGACTACTAAGTGCCTGGCTTCCAGCCTCTTATATAGGGCCAGCTGGGGCCTGATTGGGGCGTGGCCCAGCTGTGGCTACTTCCCCAATCAGCCCAGTAGCTTTTCCCTTTGCCCCAGCCCTCTGCCAGGGCTGTTTTAAACCCCTCAGGCAGGAGCGGGGTAACCACCGCACTACAACCATATTCCTTACTACATGTTTTTACAAACTCCAACATTTGTATCGGTGGTTGTAGCAAAGAGCATCATGTCATCGGCGTACGTGAGGTCGGTTAAGACATGTTCACCAATAGAAAACCCAGCTCTTTCCACTCTGTTAAAAGCTTCCAGGTCTTGTCATATAATAAATTCCGAGTATGTGCTGAAAAGGCTTGGAGACAGAATACACCCATGTCGCACGTCCTGCTCACTGGTAAACCACTTGCTGTTGCCTGCTCCATGATATCAGTACTGAGGTCACTAATTTCTTTTAACAATTCTACTGGTATGTTATCTACCGCTGGTGCTTTCCCAGGCTTCGTTTTCATAATAGTACACACCAGTTCCACTCACAGGATTGATGACTCTGGCTCTATGCGCTCCTTTCTGTCGTCCTGTATTGTAAGTGGCTCTGATGAGGCATACAGATTGGCACAGTAATCTGTCCAAGCGTGGTTAATATCATCGCTTTCAGTGAGGACTCTGCCATCAGGATCTTGTATTATGCTTGATTATAGGGGAAACTTTCTGATAAGAAGTCTGACCATTATGAACATACTTGCCTTTTGTAGTACTCTTTTTGTGACTCTCAAGTTCCTCACACTTTGCCCTGATGTATTCACTCTTGTCTGGTCTAGTCTGCTTTCAGATCTGCCTGCTCAGTTCTTTGTACTCTCTCCTAGGTGCTTCAGTCTTCAAGTCACTCTGTGTCATTCTGCATCATTTTTTGCCAGTCCAAACACTTCTTCTGTTAACCATAGTGTGGTCCAATGCTGACATTTTGGAACATGTGATTTGGCAGATTTGAGCATGACAGTTGTCATTTCATTCCAAAGTTCATTCGGATTGTTCTCTTCTTTCACCTGTGATAATGCCTCAATCCCATTCCGTGTTAGCCTCAAACTTAAAATTAAAACTTAAAAAGATAAGATGTTTGGCAGGTTCACTGCATGTGGTCTTGTCCAGAATCAGCAAAGTAAGTGGCAGATTGACTTTAAATTGGCACTCCTGGTTTTCCAAGTCCTACAAGCTCCTGGCACTGGCTTCATTTGAATCCTGCTCCTTGAACCTCACATTGACTGTCCTTACAAATTACCACCGTCTTGGGAGCTCACCATTGCCTCTCAAGCTGTCAGGCAATAGTATATTTGCTTTGTTACAATGTGGAACTCCATCCCCATCACAGAAACCTTCTCATATCATCCCTCAGCACTTTCAAAAAGCACCATAAACCTTTAGGGTTTTTTTCCGCCCTATAAATGCATTTTTGCAAACAACTTCTAAATTCGACCCCATCATTTTGGTTTTATGTGGTCGCATTTTAGATGGGTGATATTTTATTATGTGGTATTTGTTTTTATTCTGTTCTACAAGTAGCTTCCATCCTAAGAAAGCTATAGAATAAATTACATTTATCCTTCAGGAATGATCTCTCTCTCTCTCTCTCTCTCTCTCTCTCTCTCTCTCTCTAAAGCTAGATTTCCATTACATTTCAGGAGATATCTTTAAATACCTGAGCTACACAGCACATCTGTCTCAAATTAAAAATGTTTTTTTTTATCTTGATGACTGCAACATTTGTTAATAGCGATGAAATTTTCCATGTGCTTTTGGTCTTGTGTAGGATACTGACTAAAATACAGAGAAGTTTAGAGCAATAACAACTATAGCAGATGAACAATTATAAAAGTAGATGGGATTCAAAGGCATTTTAATTTGTCATTATTTTGCTTCTTCCAGAGATAATCTGAATAATTACACTGCCTATAAAAAGCAAATGTGTAATATTTCCCCTCAATATTAAATTCTCTCCATTCCCTTTTAATATAAGTGAAAATAAAGATGTCTCTGATACCCTCTGATGCTTTGATCAAAATATGAAAACCACTGAATGGCTTGTGCAATTTGTGTTTTTGTTTGTTTTCTTGGTGTATGGAGAAATTACTTCGATTTTAAAAAGTAAACATTAGCCCATCTCACAAATTATAAATATTAGATCATATTATTTTACTGCCTGGAAATGTTCTCAGTTGTCAAAAATATATTGCCTAGTGTGCAAAAACTCTAGGTTTATACTGAGGACTTAAAGGAAGGTGACTGTGTTTAACCCGATGGTGCAGTGAAATACGTATGTAAAAAGAAGGGTGGTGCTGCCGTGAAGACACTGGTCTGGGATGTGGGTTCAGCTCCAGACTCTGAAACAGACTTTCTCCATGACTATGAGCAAAGATCCTAATTGCTCTATGCCTGAATTCCCCATCCGTAATATGAGGAGGCTAATATTTCTTTACTTCCTGGAAGTGTTTGTGAGGATGAAGCTGCTTGTGAGGTGCTCAGATACTACAGTAATGATTTGATTGATAGGTTCAGAGATATTAAGGCCAAAAGAAACCATTGTGATCATCTACTCTGACTTGCTGCATAGCACGGGTCATAGGACTTCTCTGAATTAATTTCTGCTACAAGTCAATAGCTGTGGATGAATTAGAGCATCTCTCTTAGAAAAACATCCAATCTTGATGTAAAAGTGTCCTGTGATGAAGAATCCACCGCAAACCTTTGGTAAGTTGTTTTAATGGTTAATCACCCTCACTGTTAAAAATGTGTGCCTTATTTCTACTCCAAATTTATCTAGCTTCAACTTCTAGCCACTGAATCTTGTTATACCTTTGTCTCCTAGGAACAATTACAAGATGGTATATAATTGAATAAGCAGTCAGGTACATAGGATGTACTCAAGGTTACATGGGTGAATGATGGAAACAGGTGCACAGAGAGACTCTTATACAGCAGCAGCAAACAAGCAAAAACAAAAACTAGGAGAAACAAGAAAGAAACTTATCTCTGCTTCCTTTTTGTATTACAGCCTGAAGAATCAATAGTGATTCATCAATCAAAAGAAGGAAAAAACATCAAGATTTTTTCTGCAAAGAAGAGTCTATTAACCAATAGAAAGGATGCTTTCTTGGACAATGAGCATTTCCTGTGTGGATTCATTAATTAACGTATAACTAAATCTTCACTTTGGACAAATACATGGATTTTCTTTTTTAATTTTGTGGTGAGTTAAAATATTTGAATGGATTTTTTTTTTTACCTTTTCAAGATAATATATTCAGCACACAGTCTAAAGTATGATAAATATCCTTTAAGAAACAGCATCTAAACATCACTCATCCTCAAAGACAGTGGAAATAAAATATTTTATTTTTTTCATATTTATTCTTAGATTTCTTCTGAGAATATAAAATTGCTCTATTAAATTATCCATGATTGTGATGTAATCAGTCTTCAACCAGAAATAAACATGATTTCTTCACCTTCTTCGGCATGATTTGTGTCAACATATAAAGAAAAAAAATGAATCACGGGGTATGTATAATAGATGAATCTTTTCCCTTCCTCTTTGTCTTCAGAAAAAATACATATGGTTCACTGAACACTGAAAGCTAAAATTAAAGAATAAAATCCTTTTCCTGCCATTCAAGTATGATTCCTAGAAGCTAGATGGATGCTACCCCCACTATCGACTTTGCTGAATGCTAACCTATAAAAGACATCAGTCTATCCACATGATGTTCCTAGGAAGCAAATTGCCTGTTTGGAATGTTTCAGGGCAGTGGAACAACAACACCTATGCCAGGCTAGTGGCACAATGTGATTAGGTGAATTGATGTTTCCTCTATAAAATAGATATTTTGCCCAGTGCACCAGGTGTTTCTATAGAAAGTAAATGACAACAGAGGGAAAATTGTGAAAATAAAGGGGAACCCAGCTCAGAGGTGAGGTTCACGATGTGAAAGCTGGATTCCCTTATGCTCCCCTGACACCTACTTAATCCCACTTACTGAAGTATAAAAGACTCTGTTAATGTGGCACATGTACTGAGGAGTGGGAAGCAGGTGCAAGAAGGTGAGGGGTGGGAAGGACAGACAGGTGTAAATTAGGCCAACTAAGACTAGGGTTACCATTCGTCCGGATTCTGCCGGACATGTCCGGCTTTTTTGAGTTAAAAATAGCGTCGGGGGGAATTTGTAAATGTCCGGATTTCCCCCCAATGCAGAGAGCGCGTGGCTGACAGGGCAGCCGGCCGGATCGTGCCACTTGCATGGGGCTCCGAGAGCCAGAGCCCCTCCTCCGCTTCCCCCTCCTCTTCCCTGCAGCTTGAAATCACTCCCCTCCTCTCGCTCTCTCCCTCCCTCTCCCTGCATTCGCAGATCGCCGGGGCCGTTCACATCGGGCCTCCGGCAGTCTGGAGCTCCTCCCCCTGCTCCCCTGTCCCCTGCTGCCGAGCGCCGCTCTGCAGCACTCTGTTCTGAGCGGCACGGTAAGGGGGCCAGGAGGTCGGAGAAGGGGCAGGGAGGTTCTGGAGGGGGCAGTCAAGAGACAGGGAGCAGGGTTGGATGGGTGGGGAGTTCGGGGGGGGCTGGCTGGGGGTTGGGGGTGTAAGGTTTTGGGCAGTCAGGGTACAGGTAGGGGGTAGGGTCCTGGGGGGCAGTTAGGGTGGGGGGATCTCAGGAGGGGGCAGTTAGGGGACAAGGAACGGGGAGGTTTATTCCAATTCCAATTTAAATTATTAGTTTAATTTTTTTTTTTAAACTACTGGATGTGGTTTCGGACTGGCCGTGTATAATAACCAGGAAAGGGCAGGTAGTCACGCCTGTACATAAATAGGGGGTGGAGTCCTGGGGGGCAGTTAGGGGCAGGGGTCCCAGGAGGGGGCAGTCAGGGGAGAAGGAGTGGGGGGGAGGGTTGGGGGTTCTAAGGAGGGCGGGAAGTGGGAGGGAGTGGAAGGGGCAGGGGCGGGGCTAGGGCAGGACGGGGGCGGGGCTAGGGCGGGGCTCCTCCCGTCCTCTTTTTTGATTGTTGAAATATGGTAACCCTAACTAAGACTCCCTCCGGACTCCGTTAGACTTGCTGAATTTGACCCCAGTGCCTGACCTGTCTTTGAGACAGTTACGTATTCACGTTGCACTGGGGAACTTGACCACGGCACAAGTCCCGGCCCCTTCCCCATGCATGGAGAGGCCTAGTGCCAAATGGGAGTGAGGGCAGGGGCATCGGGATCACTCCCATGCAGCTCATCCAGCGCCTGTCTGTGCAGCCCACTGTGGTGAGAGGGGGGCATGCTGCTATTCAGGCCCCGATTCAGCCGCACTGAGCATGTGCTTGTGCCCCATGGGAGGTACACTCTTGCAGTTAAGCACACGCTGGGCCGAGCAGAGAGAGACTTAAGCACAAACTTAAATGCTTTGCTGAATTGGGGCCTACGCTCTTGGGACACACTTGATTCCGTGGAGGGTCTCCACTGCTGCTTATTGAGATCAGGCAGAGAGAGCGCCTCACCCTCATTTCTAGCAATGGCTCTTAGGCAAAGATTTGGGCCTAAGTAGTTATCCTATATCACATAATCCACTGTTCATAGCAATGATTGAAAGCAAATGAGTTCAACAGGATCATACCTGTCGAGGAGTTTTGGAGCATCTATTTTTAAATCCTTCAAGGCTGGTCCCTTGGTGTTCTGGGGTGGTATCCCTTCAAACTGTGTGCAATATTCATTCACTAATTTCTGCCTACAACCTGCCACTGCCCTGGGTCCCATTGGCAGAGTGGGCATGTGGGTGTCACTTACAGGGAGCAAACAGGGTTTGGAGGGAGGAGGGTTCAGCTCAGGAAAAAATCTGAATTTCCAAGATAAAAGCCATTTATCCGGGTGCCCCTTTGTAGATATTGATTATTCATTCACAGGGGAAGCGTTTATTGTTCACTGACTTGGTGGTAGATTGATAACAAAAATAACTGGAGCCACTGACAATCCATATCCTGCAGTATTTTTAATTTTTCTGCGGCAAAGTCATGCAGCCAGCAGAGGGAGCCCAAGTTAATTACCTAACCCATTTTTAGGAACTGAACTAAATGTTATCAAGTTCCAAGAGGGTGGTAGAGACAATGCAGAACAAATGTGGATTGTATGAGCTATAAAACGCATCTGCATTTAAAAGGTTCTGAGGACTTTGGGATCCTATGAATTCCAATGTAAAAATAAACCTTCTCTGGAGAGGAATTTTCCTGATTGTTTTATGCATGTGCAATAGTGTGATTCTCCTTGGGCTGCTTCTGTCCTTGCTTTCTGCTGCCTCCTGAATAATACGCTTTGACATTTCCTTTCTGTGCACACTCAACTAAAGGCTGCTTCACACCTTCGAAGTGAACAGTGATTCATCAGTTCCTTTACCAGGAGAAGTCACAGCAAAGTGCAAATGGATACTGCAAGGACACTGGCCTGCAGCTACTGGAAATTAGCCGGAAACAGGATCAGGGATACTTTTAATTGAATCCACAGGCCACCACAATGCCCTGCAGATTTGTGTGTATGATAGAGAGGCAATTAAATCATGTACAGGTCATTAATCTCTGTCCACCTGGCTACAACTTAATAAAACAAACAAATAAGGTATTGCTCCTGGCACTTAGGTGCTAGGCAGCATGGTGTTCTTGTCATGCATTTTACATTTACATTTGGGTAATTACCTGGAAAACTGCAGTTCAGAAGCTAACTTCATTAATTTTTTTATTAATAGCACTGAAATGCTAGTGTTAATTTTATTTATTTGTTATGTGATAGTGAATTTATCAACAAAAAAACCAGTAATGGATGCATTAGGTGCTGCTCACTACCTCTGATTTATACCTCTCTCAAGGGGAAGATAGTAGTACACAATGGTTTTTACAGTGGCTGAGGCGTTGGATAATGGATATGTGAGATCGAGTCAGTTTCATTGTAAACCATGTACTAAACCTTATTCTTGACAAATGTAAGACTCAGGCTCAACAATTGGTTATTATTAAATCATGAGGCGATAATGAGTAGTAAATCTACTAGATGCTACTGTCCGGCTTTGCTGAAATGAATGTCTTCTTGTCTTACAAGGTCAAGCAGGTGCTCATACCTCCAGGATTCCATCTCTAGAAGCAATCCTATTCCCAAATCTAGATCACAATGGTCCCTTCTTGGCCTTGGAATCTATTAATCTAGTTCGTGGGCTGAAGCAAGGCATGCATTTCAGGGGCATGGGTCCTATGGCTCCAGCTGAGCTACAAAGGGAAAGAAATAGGTCTTAATCTACTTCTAACATAGACTTTTTGTGATTAGGAAGGTGGTTTAGCTTCTGCTTTCTCTTTGGAGTCTTAGATCTAACCACAGCCAAGCACAGGGCACATAGTGATTTCTGTTGCAGCTTCTCCTTCATGCTCTTCAAAAAAGTGATTATATGGGGAAGGAGCTCTTTAGCTTTATCTCTTGCCAGTAATATTTTATTGTATCTCTTGCTTTTGGATTCTCTCACCCAGAATTGCAAACACCCCACCATATTGCCACCTGCTTTGCCCTTATGATGAAAACAAGCTAATGTGTACCAGTGGAAATTTTTTCTTTCTCTTGCAAAAAAAATTAAAAGTCAAAACTCACCAGTTTCATTTTTACATGAGCATTTTCTTTCAATACTGTGGGAGAGAAGTGAGGTGATTATCTCCTAAATTAGGATTAAGATCAATAATAGATGCTGCTCTGTGGAATCCTGCAGAGTTTCTCCTGCCAGCAATGAAGACTAAATAGACCCCTTCCAGGCAAAGAAGTCAGGTTGCTATCTGAATTATAAAGTTCTATGGCATAACTCAAATGAAATCTGGTGGCAAAATGCTCTACTTAATGGAAAAGCTCCAATATTTTGGGGGGGGATTTACCACTATTTTTACTTAGCATTTAAACAGATTTATTAAGGTTCCTTCAATTAATAGTTGGAGTAACTGGCTTGACAAATAGAAAAAAAAGTCAGTAGTGGCTACATTCATGTCTCAGTAAATAAAAATAGAAATTGAAAGGTCAGGGGGACCATCCCCTTCAAATCACAGACTTTTTAGCTGAGATATTCAAAGTTGACTAGGGGATTTAGACACAATTCACTTTAAAATTTAGTGAGTTGTCTCTAAATGCCTTTGTCCACTTTGAAAATCTCACCCTTTACAAATGGCCTGTATTTAGTTTTGTTAAAAGCTAATAAAGGAGAGGGAGAGAGATACTTGACCTTGCTTGTTTATAATTAGCACAAATGCTTTTAAAAAGTCCTCTCTTCTCCTGGAGTGAGGTGAGTAAAATCAAAGACTGACTGCAAGAGAGCACAATAGCTTTGCTCAAATAACTCTTGATTGCAGCTGGGCACAAACATTTCCATCATCACACTGCTCATACACAGCTGTCA